GGTGACTAGTAAAAGACGAAGCAGGGCCGTCTTTGGCGATTGTCATGAGCTTACTGCTCGTGAAGGGAACTCTCAGATTGTGATGGATGTCCCGCTGGGTGATGATGGTAATGGTTTGTTAACTGCTTTCAAGTTTGGCTTGGGCTGGTGACATAATCTCAAACCAGCACCCACAAAGCAATGTGTCATAAATACATCAGAGCTATCGGTGTTTAGAACATGTGAGTTTCTTTCATAAGTAGACAGTATGATACTATTTATAAAGTATTTATTCTACCAGATATTATAGTAAGCTTTCTATAAATTTCTGAGTTTCACAGAAAACTAGAATGCAGGTGGGATGCCATTGTACAGATGAGGAAACAGGCTCAGCTTTTGAGTAACATTCCTAAAGCTGAATCAAAATAATTAAGCCTCAGAAAGCAAGCAAGTCTACTGGACTTCTTTGTCAGAGTTAGAGCATAAAATGTGCTTCCTGGGGCATTTTCAGTATAGATGGAATGTTAGAAAATTCACACTAAAGTGGTGCTTTAGTTTCACGAGGCTTCAGGGCTGGACTGTCAGCCCTCACCAAGCTGCCTTGGACGCCAGGCAGTCCTCACCAAGCCATGATGCAGCGCAGCCAGATTCACTGGAGGGAGAGGGCAGGTGGAAGTCAATTTCAAGCTCGTTCTCTAAAAATGCTTTTCATCACCTTCCATAGGCTTCATTTCTCCGCTCTGCCCCCTGCTTTCATGTGACCTGCACAGGGCCAGGTTGGTTACTGGAAATAGTCCTGTGCTCAGAAACCGTCAGTAACAGCCTGCTGCCCACGATCCAGGCACAGCCTAGGCTCAAGGCCCTCCTCACCTTATGAGGCCCTGCCTAACTTTCCACTGCTCACTAAATGAGACCAGCAACTGTTTTAGATAGCTATTTGCTGGTGTCCATACTCATAATCTTCACAATCGCTAAGAAGTGGGCATCCCTGTGTTATAGACAAGAGGTTGTGTTTGGTGAGGTCTTTTGCCTCAGCCTCTCTGGTTCCAGTGTTTATTCACCAAATGCTTACTAAGGGCGTCCTGGATGTGAGATACTGAAGAAAGCACCAAGATCACCACAGTGAAATAGCTTCTGCTCTCATGGAGCTTTTCTCTGAGACTGATCCAGGCTAGGAAGAAAATAGATAACAGGGAATTCCCTAGTAAGATACTTTGGCCTGAGGCCAGGGAACGCTTTTCTAGAGAGCCCAAGCTACACTTCTTAATGACATGAAGGAGCCAGCCATGCAAAGCTGGAAGGCCGCAGAGTTCTTCCCACAAGAACTCTCAGGCTGAATGTGCACTTCAGAACAGTCAACCGTACGAGACCAAAAGGGCAGCATTTGCCCAAAAACAAAGTTCAGAAGGCAGGAAAGATGGGCAAATGGAAACAAGGAACCCAGGGAGGAAGTGGACAGAGTACTGTTGTTTTGAGGGAATTGCAACTAATGTCAGGAAATAAAACGTGTATAAATAGTTGAATGGGAAACTACTTTGCTCTGTAAACCTTCACCCAAACCACAATAAAATGTTCAAAAATAAAGAACATCAGCCCCAGCTCACTGGGCTACTTCATGCCCCTTGAAGGTTCCTGTACTTTCCTTATAAAGGCACTATTCTGCCCTTATAAATCTCATACAGGGTCCAGATTCCATCTCTGGGAAGCCAGCCTTGATCACCCAGCTCACATAACACTCCCCCTCCTCCCAGTCTCCATGCCGCCTCCACAATTCTACCACACTGTTCTGTATATTAGCAGTGGGTTTAGGTTTAAGTGCCTTTATGCTAGCTACTTTGTTTAAACATTAGCAAGCACATAAAGCATGATTAGATTTATGAACGAATAAAAATCTTTTGGATAGAGTTCATAATGGGGAGTAAAAAGAGGGTATTTTTTAATTCCGGTAACCACTTCTTAGTTGTGTGATCTTAAGCAAATCATTTAACCCCTAATCCTCCATTTGGCCAGTCCCGAAATGTTGCCATTTCGCCTGGTTGGTGGACAATCAAGTCAAGTCGTGCATGTTACTTAGTAAACAGTAAACTGAATTACTGTAGGGAGCACTTGTTAATTGGCTTATCTGTCAATGGCTTCCTCACCCTGGTTTCCAGTCTCACAAAACTGGATAGGCCAACTAGCCAGTCTTTGGCTATCTTATGGTTGGGTGTGAGAGCTGGGACTCCGATCCCATCCCTCCTATTGCGGAGGCACAGTTTAGAAAGAAGAGCTCCATGCCCCATCCGTCACCTGTTCTCCCGCCCCTCCCACCTCTGCTGGTGCGCGCCACCTCCCGGCTCCTCACCTCCAGCCCCCTCTCCGCCAGCCCCGCAGTGCAGCTCAC